CAAACCGTGAGACTAAAGTATCGAACCGAACCGAACCATGAATTTTGAGCATTATCACTGGATATATATCTATGACTGATTCATTTTAAAGTCATTCTGATTTCAAGGTGTCACCAGAGCTAATTTACATAACCAACACAATATGGCTTTGAGTCAGTCAATTTTATATATGTACTGAGTTCAGATTTGATGTAGTAGCAGCTGAAAATCACAATTGAACTAGAAAAAATGTAATGTTTAATGTTTAAGACTTAAACATTAAACGTTACACGTTTTTTTTTTTGTTCAAGTGCATTTTTTGTTAGAGACTGAGAGTCCACTTTGTTAAACATTCTTTTAAAAATGAAAGTTTATTGATTTATTACACTTACATATTACGCTTTTATAATTATTAGTTGTAAAATGGTCACCAGGCAATGTTATCGCTTATCGCAATAATTTTTGAGACAATTAATCGCCCAGCAAAATTTGTTATCGTGACAGGCCTAGTTTAAGTGTAATCTTCTGTTTAATGAAAGAGTATCTATATGTGTACCAGAAAGTTACTGAGTGGTTTAACTGGAAAACCTGCTAGAACTTGGTTTTCTGGCATGTATTATAATGTGAAAGAAACAGGTTGTTGTCTCTATGTAAACTGKGATTGTGAAGGTCACCACAAAGCAGGGAGGAATCAGTGAATCACCCCAAACCAGTTCTGGGATATCTGATGCATACAGTAGAAACTTAGCTGTCTTGCCCTWAGTTAAAAAGTCACACTGGAGAATGTGCTGTAAAGGCAGGAGGCAAAAATGTCAAAYAGAGCATTCAATTTGTCCCTGATATGTCTCCCTGCTGCAGCAGGTGTTAATACATTTTTGACTGTTAAATGGGGGTAYTGCGAATTTTCCAGGCACATAGTTCAATGTTATAACCGTACCTTCAGTTGTTATGAAAATTCTGTACATATCAAAAATAAATGTGACTGCATATAGTCTATCTAAACGCCTTGAAATTGRCCTCTGCCTCTTCAAGAACCYCCTACCGTTTCTGACACTCCCACTTAAGCACATCTTTGGGGGAAGGCTGCTGTGCTCCGTTGCAGACTGAGCTCCAGGGAGGAGCTTTGTACAAATAGGCGGAGCTTTGTAACAGCAAGCATTTAGGCAGCTCCACAGGAGATTCAAGGATTTCTCAAACCTACGTGACTGAGTAAAAGCAACACTCTGGGYGTGTTTTTGATGAGGGAATGACATTATAATAAATAATATGTCCACTTTATTTTGCATAATAACTCCCTTTAAGATCTTATCTCTGAATTAAAATTTTCCTCAACAATCAGTAATCTCTGTGTGATTGCCGTATCACATGAGATCACACATTGTAACAGTTTTRGAGTTTTACCAAAAGGGTTCTAACTTTTTATTTTTCACCAGAAGATGCAGGCATATGTCTGTCAAAAGGTTTGGACTTTCAATGCTTTTCCATAATATTCAGTCTAAATGTTTTTGGTTYGTTTTTGCCTCAAAGCTTCGCTTTACTTTAGGCAAAAGGAAAAAAATGCTGTAAAAATGACAGCTTTTTTTTTTTATAAAGAAGTAAAGTAATGAGTGTGATAATGTTAGTGATGTCATCATCATGTTACTGGTTTATTCCAAATCCCTTGCTGTGGGTGCAGTCAGCATTGAGTCATTGCTCACGAGTCATACAGAAACGTAGAGAGGAGCCCGTCTTTGCAGTTTCTGCACATAATTTGTAGAATAATGTACCTCTCCCTGCAAACTGTTCAGAGATTACACATTTTTAAGTCGCACTGGTTTCCTGAGTGATGCTTGTTGACAGATTCTGTTTGCAACACCTCATTCATTCCTCATTTTGTTTATTCTTACTGACATTACTTGTTGCATTTACCTGTTTTCCTATATTATTGCTCTTATTTCTGATCAAATTTTGCTGTCCAGTWCTTTAGTGCAATATTTCTGTAAATTTAAAAAAGCTGAATTTAACCAAGTTATACCGATCACATTATATCAAGTATTAAGCCAAGGAGGTTCTATAGAACTGAGTGCGCAGAAACCATGTGATCGGCTGGTGAAGCTAATGGCTAACGCTAAATGGGCAAAACTCTGGATTTCCCATTACTGTACATGYTGACAACAGAGCAGAAAAAAAGGACTGATGATGTAGAAATCGTTAAAATTATTAATAAAACTATTAATAACAATATGAATCCAATTATTAATATTTTACAGTTTATATAATCTATCTAATGTTTTAAATAATGTCAGAAAAGCTGTTTGTGTTTTGGATTTATTAACAGAAGATAAAAGGAAAACGTCTCATTTTACAACACAAGTCAGCAGATTTGATCTTATTTAGCTCAATGTGATCTGAGCAGAACATAATGTAACAGTTTAAAATTAAAATAATCTTATAAAGTCSATGTAATCACTGTTATTTATTGAACTGGTTAGCAGATATTAGCTTGTGGAGCATATATACAGAGTGTAGCTCTGATGAATTATGCTGCAATTTAACATAAACTATTAAATATTACTTTGTCCTGTGATTAATATTTAGACCTACAGAGTGTAAAATAATATTATAAATATAAGTATTTTTAGGTTTCTGTTAGAGAACCTGACCTGTTAGAAAATGTTAGTTAATATAGACAAGTTTCATCCTATAACCAGAGAACATTTTCTAACTGCTGGCTGGTAAATATAAATATTATTTTTTATGACAGTAAGAAGAAATAATAAATACTTCATGACTAGCTGAAGTCATCATTTTTCAACAAGCTAAAGTCTAAGTTACAGGCTGACTTCAGGTCTGCTTTAGATCATTGTTACTTATAAATTATATATTTTTCTGGTATAAATCTGCTGTTTTACATGAATGTTGAATGAAATTAACATAGTTATTAATTTATTATAAAAACATGACAGATAATCTGTGAAACAGATCCGGTTCAACTGTTGTTTATCTATTAGTTTCTATGGAGGCTGTGAGCTGTTGACCTGTTTGGTCTCTTGTTTCTGCTCCTCCATGCTGTCAGAGATGCTAACAGTGGACGGTATGGGCGGGGCTTAGTCTAGTGATCTTTATATTTAAGTCTATGTATTAGGCCCATATAGTATCATAAAGACTATTTTTACTACTATTGCAGCATTTACTCTGGGCCTTTCCGAATGTTCGAACAATAATAAAAGGTTCAACATAATGCCACAGTATCATACTTGGATTAAGAAGACACAAGCACACAATTTGTGCATAAATGATTTATCCAGGTCCCAGTGGAACAAAAGTGAATAATTCTGAGTGGATATGAGGATTTTGTAAACAAAATAATTTTACCTATAAATGCACACAAGACTGTTGCCAAATCTTGTAGCTGAAATATTGATTGTTCAAAGGTTGGATGCTCAGCGTGCTCCCTTTTTTCTCTTTTTTGCTTTCCTTTACTTAATGTTTGCATAGTATGTCGTGTTTTTCTGACTAAAGAATTAGAATCAGCTAATAGCTTATCTCCAAGGACACGCATGGATGAAAACATGCAAAAATAGCTGGTCATTATTTTCTGCCATGTGTGGCTTATTTGACGAGAACACAGTTCGGTTGTGCTGCTCCGCCTGTCAGTCTGCCTGTCTTGTTTCTTTGGACCCCTCACCATTTATTATCTTCAAAAGGTGATAAGATAATGAAAGAATGTGGAAAAAATAGCTGAGAATTCCTMCACTGTTTTCTCACAGCTGTTT